TGCTCGCCTGTGGCTTTTTCTGCTCAGGAGTCACGTTTTGGCTGGTGCTTCCCTGATCCACGGGAGCAGATTGAGGAAGGTGGTTTGACCTTCTCCTGTCTCTGCCTAGGGCTTAGTTCTTTCAGAAATGAGCATTGGGATCAGAGTAGGGAATGCTGCTCTGTTGCTATTGGGAAGACAAGGGTCAGAATTACCAAGTTCAAACCGCACCCAGATGTCCCACCTCCTACTTGGAACTCCACTCTAGTGATGGAAATGCTAGTGTATTTTTGGTCCTTTTGGCACTAACTACCCTGTTATCCTTTTCAAGTTTCTGATTCTTGAGAGGCAAGTAGTCTACCCATTGGGAGCTAGGCAGCGTAGTTTGGGATCCCAGCCCTGCTTCTCACTAGCAGCATGACCTGGGGAGGTTACTTAGCCTCTGTGCACCTTAGTTTCCTCAAGTCTGAGGTGGGAATAATATTACCTACTTAGCAAGGTTGTTGTAAGAACTAAGTGGGTTAATAGATAGATACAATGTATTTAGATAGGTATCAGTTATCTATTGATAACAATATTACCTTCTTGCCAGGGTTGTTGTAAGAACTAAGTGGGTTAATAGATACAATGTATTTAGATAGGTATAGTTACCTGTTGCCCTTGTAACAAATCACTGCCCCAACAGAGTGCCTTAAGATGGCAACATTTATTTTGCTTGACTTTGCAGTATGCGCAGGGCTTGGTGGAGTTGTCTTTTTGCTGTTGTATGTAGCATCTGTTTGGACAGCTTAACTGGGGCTGGAGGATCTATTTTTGAGATGGCTCCTTGATGTGGCAGAGAAGTTGGTGCTACCCCTTGGCTGGGTGCTCAGCTGGGCTGTGAACTGGGACCTTGAGTCTTCTCTCTCCACCAGCTGCTTGGGCTTCCTTACAAAATGGTCGCTCGGTTCCACAAGTAAGTGCCCCAAGAGAATAAGGTGAAAGTATTTTTATAACCTCAGAAGTCATGAGGTTCCCTGTTCTCTGTTAGTCACAGCAGTCATGAAGGCTCACCTGATTTCAAGAGGAAGAGAGACAGCTTCTGTGTGTGGAAAAGTGGCAAGGTTCCAGAAGAGCATGGAAGGTGAAAGATAATGCAGTGGCCATTTTTGGAAAATAAAATCTGCCATAGGATAGGTTTTGGCATATAGTAAACCTCAATAAATGTTTGCTACCAGTAGATTAAAATCATCATCTGCATTCCTCATCCCCGACTCCTCTTCCTTAAAGGGGGTGGTAGTACTGCATAGTGGTTAAGTGCATCTGCTCTGGAGGCAAGCTGCTAGGGGCTAAAGCCTGGTTCAGCCCTTACAGCTGTGTGATCTTGGACAGATTGCTTAACCTCCTGACAAATTTATTAAAAGATACAAACCACCAAAGCTTTCTCAGTAAGAATAGAAAACCTGAGTGGCTCTATATGTGCTGAAGAAGGTTAATATGTAATAAAAACTTTCCTAGAAAGAAAGCTTCACGCCCAGATAGCTTTCCTGGTGAACGCTGTACATTAGGGAATAAATTATACGAATTTGACCCAGAGTCTTCCAGAAAATTGAAAAGGAGGAAATATTTTCTAGCGCATTTTATGAGACCAGCATTACCTTGATACCCAAACCAGCAAAGACATCACAAGGAAAGAAACATCAGACTAACATTCTACGTGGATATAGATGCAAAAAATTTAAACAATTTTAGCAAATGCAATAATATATAAAAAGGATAATACATCATGACTAGAGGGACTTAGCTCAGGAATGCAGGGTTGGTTTAATGTTCAAAAACCAATCATTGTAATTCACTATATTAACCAAAGGAGAAAGAAAAGCCATATACAGACTGACTGTCCCTTTTCCAAAATGCTTGGGGCCAGAAGTATTTCTGATTTTTAATTTTTTTCAGATTTTGGAATATTTGCATTATACTTATTGGTTATTTCTAACCTGAAAATATGAAATCCAGAATGCTCCAGTGAGCATTTTCTTTGAGTGTCATGTTGGTACTCAAAGAGTATGGAATTTTGGAGCATTTGGATTTCAGATTTTCAGATTAGGGATACTCAAGCTGAAATCATCTCAAAGTAGACAAAGTGTTTGACAAAATCCAGCACCTATTCATGGTAAGATCTCACAACAAACTAGGCATAGAAAGGAATTTCCTCAGCCTGATAAAGAGTATCTACGAGAAACTTCTAGCTTACATCATACTGAGTGGTGAAAAACTGAATGCTTTTCCCCTAAGATGGGGAATGAGACAGAGATATCCCTTCTTATCATTTTTATTCAGTATTGTAAGGGAGGTTCTAAACAGTGCCATAAGGCAAGAAAAACAAAAGGCATCTGGATTAGAAAGGAAGAAATAAAACTGTCCTTATTCTCAGACAACGTGATCTTCTGTATAGAAAAGCTCATGACATTTACAAAAGAGGCTACTAGACCTTTTAAGTGAGCTTATCCAGGTTGCAGGATAGAAGGCCAATATATAAAAATTAGTCGTATTTCTGTATACTAACAACAAACAATTGGAAATTGAGATTAAAAGGCAACTTCATTTACAGCAGCATCGGAAATATGAAAGGCTTCGTGATAAATCTAACAAAAGATGTGTCAGGTCCATATACTGAAAGCTACAAAACATTACTAAGAGAAATTAAAGAAGATCAAAATAAACTGAGAGATATACCATATTCATGAGTTTTTAAGATGTCTCATTGATAGATTTGGCATAATTTCAATCAAATCCCAGCAGGCTTTTTTTTTAAGTAGAAATTGACTATTTATTTGTTTGTTTGTTTATTTATTTATTTTGAGACAGAGTCTCATTCTGCAGCCCAAGCTGGGGTGCAGTGGTGTAATCTTGGCTCACTGCAGCCTCCACCTCCTGGGCTCATGTGAGTCTCATGCCTCAGCCTCCTGAGTAGCTGGGACTACAGGTGCGTGACACCATGCCCGGCTAATTTTTGTATTTTAGTAGAGACCAGTGGGGTTTCACTTTGTTGCCCAGGGTGGTCTCGAACTCCTCAGCTCAGGTGATCCACCTGCCTTGGCCTCCCAAATTGCTAGGATTACAGGCGTGAGCCACTGCGCCTGGCCTGTTATTATTGAGACAGGATCTTGCTCTGTCACCCAGGCTGGAATGCAGTAGCATGATCATAGCTCACTCTAGCCTTGACCTCTCAGGCTCAAGTAATCCTCTCACCTCAGCCTCCTGAGTAGCTGGGACTATAGGTGCAAGCTACCATGCCCAGCTGATTTTTATACTTTTTGTAGAGATGAGGTCTTAGTATGTTACCCAGACTGGTCTTAACTCTTGACTTCAAGCGATCCATCCACCTCAGCCTCCCAAAGTGCTGGGATTATAGGCACATGCCACCATGCCTAATTTTTTTACTTTAAAAAAATTTTTTTTTTGTAGAGATAGGGTCTCACTATATTCCCCAGGCTGGGTTTTTATTGATTGATTGATTGATTGATTGGACTCCTAGATTAGGGACAAAGAAATCGACTAATTCTAAAGTTTATATGGAAGTTCAAAAGAACTGGGCTAGCCAAAACAACTTTGAAAAAAAGATGAACAAAACTGGAGGATTAACACTACCTGGTTTTTTGTTTTTTTCTTTTTCAAGACAGAGTCTCGCTCTGTCCCCCAGGTGGGATTGCAGTGGTGCGATCTCCATTCACTGCAAGCTCCGCCTCCTGGGTTCATGCCATTCTCCTGCCTCAGCCTCCCTAGTAGCTGGGACTACAGGCGCCCACCACCATGCCTGGCTAATTTTTTTGCATTTTTAGCGGAGACACGGTTTCACCATGTTAGCCAGGATGGTCTTGATCTCCTGACCTCGTGATCCGCCCGCCTTGGCCTCCCAAAGTGCTGGGATTACAGGCGTGAACCACTGTGCCCTGCCAACATTTACCTGATTTTAAGACCTGTAAAGCCACAGTAATCAAGGCATTTGAGGTATTGATGTGAAATCTTTTTTTTTATTTTTCTTTTTTAAAGACAGTGTCTTTCTGTGTTGTCCAGGCTGGCTTGAACTACCGGGCTAAGGTGATCCTCCCACCTCAGCCTTCTTAGCAGCTGGGACTACAGGCTTACACCACTGTGCCTTGATGTGGAATCTTTTTTATTTTAATTTTTTTGTAGAGACAGGATCTCACTGTGTTGCCCAGGCTAGTCTTGAACTCTTGGGCTCAAGTGATCCTCCCCGCCTTGGCCTGATGTGAAATCTTTATGACCAGGAGTTAGGCAAAGATTTCTTAGACATGATATCAAAAGTATTAATCCATAAAAGAATAAATGGATAAGTTGGCCTTCATCAAAATTTGTAAAACTTCTGTTTCAGTGACCTTTGAAAGACGCTGTTAGAAAAAAATGAGAAGAGAAACCACAAAGGGGAAAAGATTTGCAAATCATCATGTATCTGATAGACTGGTATCCAGATTGTATAAAAGAGCTCTCAATTTAATAATAATAATAATATAATAAACAAAGAAAAAGGTGAAAGATCTGGACACTTCAAAGAAGATATACAAATGGTAAATAAACATGTGGAAAGATGTGCAACATTATTGTTAGGAAAATGGATGTGCCTGGTCCTGGTTGCTCATGACTGGCAATTCAAGATCAGAAGGACCTTTTGCAACCCAGCAGGCCTTTGAGCCCTGTCAGTTTCCTGTCCCTTGCATGGTTGCAAGCCTTACACATTTGCTTCCTGCCAACTGTGCAAATCCCAGTATCAAAACATTAGTTGTTTTTTGTTTTTTGTTTTTTTTTTTTTGAGATGGAGTCTTGCTCTGTCCCCCAGGCTAGAATGGTGGCGCAATTTTGGCTCACTGCAACCTCCGCCTCCCAGGTTCAAGCGATTCTCATGCCTCAGCCTCCTGAGTAGCTGGGATTACAGGCCATCTGCCATCATGCCCGGCTAATTTTTGTAGAGATGGGGTTTCACCATGTTGGCCAGGCTGGTCTTGAACACCTGACCTCAGGTGATCCGTCCACCTTGGCCTCCCAAAGTGCTGGGATTACAGGTGTGAGCCACCGTGCTCAGCCCAAAACATTAGATGCTTTATCTTCCTTCAGGTGGATCATTTATAATGCGGATTTACAGATTTCTCTCAGATTCACTTCTTCCCAATCAATGCATCATTTCTTGATGCTGTTGTTTACTGTGTGTATCAGTAGAGTCTCAGGATTATTGTGACAAACCCAACTCAGACTCAAATGGGATCTTTTTATCAGCTTGGATTTTGGAAATTAAGGGGTAGATTTCAGGCACAGCTGAATTCCAGAGGTGCAGCTGCTGTTAGTGTTATCTCTTGGTTATTGTTTTGTTCTCTGCTGACTTCCTTCTCAGGCAAGTTTTCCCCATGCGGTGGCAGAGGCAGCCGCGAGCAACAACAGGGAAAGAGCCCCTCCTTCCTAACTGGCCCAGGAACAGTTTCAAGTTCAGCTGTCACTGGCCGGACTTGGGTCAGCAGCCATGCCTGAACCAATCCCTGGGCCCAGGGGAGACGAGGGGCTCATTGCCAGGCCCAGGTCACCTGCCTGGGAGCCAGGGGTGGAGTCGGCCAGAGCCAAACAATGTGGACAGAGAGCAAGGAGGGGATGTTCTACCCAGACAGATGGCCCAGTGTTGCTGGGGGAGGAGGGTGTGGCTGTCAGCAGGGAAGAGCAACAGATGGCCCTGCACCAGGGAACAAATCCAGTTGTTTTTAATTTTTAACTAAGTAGGATGTTAATATGCTTCCAAAAGTCAAAGGATTCAAAAAGGGTCCATCTACACTGTTCCTTATAGCCCTTGTAGGACGACTGATTTCATTGACTTCTCATTTTTCCTTCCTGTGTTTCTTTTGGTAAAGATAAGTTGATGTATTTATGTTTTCTTGTTTCCTCCCTTTTGTACACATTAGAGAGCATACTATTTGTACTATTTTGTACTTGCTTTTTTCACTTATCAAGAGAAAGGAAAACATTTGTAACCAGCTGTGCTAATTCTTGCCGTTATCAGTACACAGCATGGAGGTTGACTTGAAGATGACGGGATGTCCATGTGAGCATATGAAGGGACTGCCAGGCTTTTCTTCTGCTGAACGGTGTCTTTATGCTCTTAAGCCTGGGTGCCAAGTGAATCTCTCTCCTCTTCCAATGCAGATGGCGGCAGCTATGCCATCCACGACTCCCAGGCCCCCAGTCTCAGCTCTGAGGGCGGGAGTTCCCCCTCCAGCCCCGCACACAACTGGGAGATGAATTACCAAGAGGCAGCAATCTACCTCCAGGTGAGTATCTCCAGTCAGGCCCTGGCGGTTCTCTGCACCTATTGGTGGGGTGGGGCAGCCAGGACTCTGTTAGGTGCCCAGAAATTCAGTTCCAGCGGCGGTTCATGCTGCTGCTGCTGCTCGTGTGTGAGCTTCAGGTTCGTAAGATGGGCTGGCTGACCTGACTGTGCTCGTAGGGGAAAACTGCCGTGCACCGGCTTGTCTTCAGGCCCCTGTTTGGGGCTGTGCTAACCCCCACAATTTCTGGAGTCTGTCCACTCGGCCTTCCCTGCCACCCTCCCTCTTCTCAGGGCACACTGAGAGGCCACATTCTCAGGAGGGAATTATTCTTTACATACTGAATGCTGTAGCTTTATTCCTGTTTAACTTGTTGCTGCTTTCCTGTTTGCCATTTTAGGAATCTTTTTTTTATTTTTTATTTTTGTGTGAAAGGTGAAAGTAATACATGCTTATTACAATAAATTTAGATACAAAAAAGAATGAAGAAACATTCACCTAAGGCAGTCACTGTCAACATTATTTCCTTCCAGGTTTTAAAAAAAAAAATGTGCTATAAGAATAATATATCTGTTTTCCAAAAAAGTCATATGGTATGTGCAATTTTATATTCTGCTTTTTTTTTTTTCTTTTTTTCTTTTTTTGAAGACAGTCTCATTCTATCACCCAGGCTGGAGTTGGATTGTAGTGGCTTGATCTTGGCTCATTGCAACCTCTGCCTCCCGAGTTCAGGCGAGTCTCCTGCCTCAGCCTCTGGAGTAGCTGGGATCACAGGCACGTGCCACTGTGCCCGGCTAATTTTTGTATTTTTAGTAGAGATGGGGTTTCGCCATGTTGGCCAGGCTGGTCTTGAACTCTTGACCTCAGGTGATCTGCCCACCTCAGCCTCCCAAATTGTTGGCGTTACAGGCATGAGCCACCACACCTGGCTATTTAAATAGCTTTAAATTATATCAGGTAAATTATCCTAATTTACTTAACCTGATAATCTTGAATATTTTCCTTTATTGTAAATTATAATCCAAGGACAATCTATACATAGCACCCCCACCCCCTTACATCTAGGATTATTTTACTAGGAAAGTAAAAGAAATGGAAAGTCTAAGAAATGGAATGACCGGGTAGAAGGAATCAACAGTTTTTAGGTCCTTGATGTTTATCATGGAATCCTCTCTACAGGAAGTATTGCCTCTTTACTGATGGCCCCACTGGCGGTGACATTTTAACCTTAATCTTGCCAATCTTGTCACTATAAGATTTCAGTTTCTGGTTTGCATTAAGAGTTTGGATGAGGAAATAGACTTTTTCTTAAGTGCATTCACATCATAATTTTCCCTAATCTTTCTTATCTGAATCAGCTCTCCACTGCAAGTATTTGTTTTGTCATTTAAAAAAGATTTAGTGAAATTCAAGCCTGGGCAACATGGCAAATCCATCTCTGGAAAAAATACAAAAATTAGCCAGGCGTGGCATGTGTACCCTCTAGTCCCAGCTGCTTGCAAGACTGAGGTGAAGGTGTCGCCTGACTCTGGGAAGTTGAGGCTTCAGTGAGCCATGTTTGTGTCACTGCACTTCAGCCTGGGTGACAAAATGAGACCCTGTCTAAAAAAAAGAAAAAAGATGTAATGAAATTTAGACATTTGTTTGATGGTTGTTCAATCGTTTGTTTCTCATACGTTCATGCAGCATCATATACACCTAAACGATTGTGTTTTGTTTCAAGTTAAGGCGACAGAATGTTTTAGGAAAATTGTCCCAAGCTCAGGCATGCTTGTTAATGATCTAGCGAGGATGTCTTTTGCACATCGCCTTCTCTGAGGCTAGATAAGAGCGTGGGATTGGTCAGAACACAGACTTAGAATGGTTGAAGCTCTAAGGATCCTGATCATTCGTCCTTTTCCTAAGCAGGTGAGGACATTGGTAATGAACATATGAGACTTTAAAGGGCACCTGCTAATCTTTGTAACAAGCCTCTGAGGCTGTAGTGATCATCTCCCACTTCACAGATGTGGTGACTGAGACTCAGAGGGGCCAAATGATGCCCAAGGCCACCCAGCTAGGGAGTTGCAGAGCTCCACATTTAAACTGTTTGGCCTCCAGATGATATTTTTTATTCTGTGTGCTGTTGCATCACTTATGAACTGACTGTGTGCATCTCCTTGAAAATGGGCCATGTATTTGTGGAAAAAAGCAGTTATGGAACAGCTGGTGTTGTATGATCATTTTAAATTGATGTCATACAGCAACATATGCATGCGGGTATGTATGTGTACAGATATCTATACATATCTGGAAAGTTGTTTAAATATTAAAGATGATTATCTCTGGCTGATGGAATTTTTACTACCTTACAAATTTAAATTGTTTAAATTAGTTTACCAAAAATGCATTTTTTTTAAAAAATGTAAGAAAAACTTGGATTTCTTTGAACAGTCACAGTCATTCACAGCTGTTCCTGGAGGATGAGATGGCCTGTTTTTGTTGAGACAGACTCTCACTCTATTGCCCACGCTGGAGTACAGTGGCGCGATCTCGGCTCACTGCAACCTCCTTCCAGGTTCAAGCGATTCTCCTGCCTCAGCCACCCAGGTAACTGGGATTACAGGCACCTGCCACCACGCCCGGCTAATTTTTGTATTTTTAGTAGAGACGGGGTTTCACCATGTTGGCCAGGCTGGTCTCAAACTCCTGACCTCAAGTGATCCACCCGCTTAAGCCTCCCAAAGTGCTGGGATTACAGGTGTGAGCCTCTGTGCCCGGCTCAAGATGGCCTGCCTTTTCACACTTGCAGCCAGGCTATAGGTCCTGCAGTGAGTCAGGTTGCTGGTGTGCGTGGATAATTGGCCCTTGCTGCTTTGAGGGTGTCTGGTGCCTGCAGTTTCCCCTCTTCCCACATTTTACCTGTTACCTGTTAATTCACTCATCCTCTGGAGCCACGTGCTCAGCAGTCCTGGTGCCTTTGAAACAGTACTCATTTCTATGTGGACTTGGACCCCAGGGAGCAGACAGCAAAGGCCTAGAAGTCGCTACAACTGGCCTTCCTTATTTTTCCAAATCTAGTTTATGATCAGCAGCCAGGAAACAGGGTCGATGTTCTCTTGGGTTTTCTTCAGAATCCAGTGCCATGGGTGATATTTCCATCTGTTGGTGGAGACCTCATTCCCCCCATCTCTTCTGGGACGATTCCAAGTCCTAGAGTTAAAATCTGAGCCCCCATGTCAGTGGTTCTTCTAGTGAGACCTTCATTCCTGGCTATTTGTTGGAAGAAATTGCCCAAGAAATACATTTTTTTTTTTTTTTTTAGTTATTGAAACCAGAAGCTTCCCAGGCCACTGTATGTGGCCCCCTGCCCACTGCCATGGCCATGGAGGTGGTAGTGAAAACCACAGCCCTACACAGAGCACAGAACCATGTTCAACTTACCCGCTGTTGACTGCCAAGGTGTTTGCTCCCGTTGACATGCCTACCCCTGCCAGGTTTGCTGCTGGGTCTGCGGTTTGCCTCGATTTTTTGCTAATGAGGAGAGCAGTTTATCTAGCTTCAGGGAAGTGACTCACTCACAGTCACTCTGCAAACTGCAAGCAGGGCCTTTCCCAGAATAAGTTTGTGAGAATCGGCCGAGCATGGTGGCTCACACTTGTAATCCTAGCACTTTGGGAGGCTGAGGTGGGCGGATCACTTGAGCTCAGGAGTTCAAGACCAGCCTGGGCCACATGGTGAAACACCATCTCTACTAAAAATACAAAAATTAGCCAGGTGTGGTGGTGTGCACTTGTCATTCCAGCTACCCAGGAGGCTGAGGCAAGAGAATTGCTTGAACCCAGGAGGCGGAGGTTGCAGTGAGCTGAGATTGTACCACTGCATTCCAGCCTGGGTGACACAGGGAGACTCTGTCTCAAAAAAAAAGAAAAAAAATATTACATAACATATAAATATATCAAAATATCACATTGTACCCCATATACAATTATTATTTGTCAATTGAAACAAGGTAGGGTATGGGGAATCCTGAATTAAGTAAATGTATAGTAGCAATACGCCACTGTGCAGCTCCTTTTTTTTTTGGAGACAGGGGCCCAGGCTGGAGTATAGAGTATAATAGTGTTCAAGTGATTCCCCTGTCTCAGCCTCCCAAGTAGCTGGGACCACAGGCACATGCCACCATACCCAGCTAATTTTTGTATTTTTAGTAGAGATGAGGTTTCACCATGTTGGCCAAGCTGGTCTCAAACTCCTGACCTCAGGTGATCCATGCGCCTCAGCCTCCCAAAGTGCTGGGATTACAGGCATGAGCCACTGTGCCTGTTCTGGGTAGCTCTTGAAGGGCGTTAAAGGGTCTGACTAGGCAGGGTTATTGGCTTCCTTTTTTCTGGTAGTGTTCATATAACTTATGATAATAGCAAATACCTGTAGTGAGCTGACTGTGTGGCAGACACCACTCTAAGTGCCTTTCAAATGTCCTCACCTTTCTTCTTCACAACAGCTCCAGGAGGAAGCACTAATGTTAGTGCCTTTACCGTTGAAGAAGCTGAGCCTCAAGGGCGAAGGAACCTTCCCAACATTCCTCAGGGAAGGATTAGAAAGCCAAGGCTCAGCTCATGTGGTTCCTCTCAGGCTCTTTACACTGAGCTCTATTTTTTTTTTTTTTTTTAGACAGAGTCTTGCTCTGTCGCCCAGGCTGGAGTGCAGTGGCACGATCTCGGCTCACTGTAAGCTCCGCCTCCCGGGTTCATGCCATTCTCCTGCCTCAGCCTCCTCAGTAGCTGGGACTACGGGCGCCCACCACCACGCCCGGCTAATTTGTTTGTATTTTTAGTAGAGACGGGGTTTCACCATGTTAGCCAGGATGATCTCGATCTCCTGACCTCATGATCCGCCCGCCTCTCCTCCCAAAGTGCTGGGATTACAGGCGTGAGCCACCGAGGCTGGCCTCTGAGCTCTTTACACTCTGCTGGGCACTCCTAGAGGGAGAACTTGGCCTCTGAGGGGACTTTACTTCCTCCTAGGACCTTTCTTCTTTTTTTTCTTTTTCTTTTTTTTTTTTTGAGACCAGATCTTGTTCTGTGGTCCAGGTTGGAGTACAGTGGCATGATCTTGGCTCACTGCAGGTTTGACCTCCCGGGCTCAAGTGATTCTCCCATCTCAGCCTCCTAAGTAGCTGGCACCAGGGGTCTCACCTTGTTGCCCAGGCTGGTCTCAAACTCATGGGCTCAAGCTATCCTCCTGCCTCAGCCTCCCAAAGTGCTGTCATTACAGGCATGAGCCATGGCACCCAGCCCCTCCCCTCTTTTTTAAGAGATGGGGTCTTGCTGTGTTGCTCAGGCTAGACTTGAACTCCAGGCTCAAGGGATCTTCCCGCCTTGGTCTCTGGAGTAGCTGGGATGTCACTACACCTGGCTGTCTCAGGACCCTTTTAGTCTTTGGTTCCTCCAAGTGGTTTTTAAGAAGCAGCAAGTCTCTTGAGCCCATCAGCAGGCAGGAGTGAGACTTGACCACCATGAGTTTTGCGAAGATCATTTTGATTTTCCACATCAGCAGGCAGGAGTGAGACTTGACCACCATGAGTTTTGCGAAGATCATTTTGATTTTCCACATCAGCAGGCAGGAGTGAGACTTGACCACCATGAGTTTTGTGAAGATCATTTTGATTTTCCAGCGTCTTCTGTCTCTGGCTTGAATCTCTCCTCGCCTGCCTGGGTCCTTCCTTTCCTCCCCTGCTATGGTTCCTCCTTGGCCCTGGACAGGTCTCCAGGCTCACATGCCCACACTGCTCTCATCTTTTCAGGAAGGCGAGAACAATGACAAGTTCTTCACCCACCCCAAGGATGCCAAGGCGCTGGCGGCCTACCTCTTTGCACACAATCACCTCTTCTACCTGATGGAGCTGGCCACGGCCCTGCTGCTGCTGCTGCTCTCCCTGTGCGAGGCCCCCGCCGTCCCCGCGCTCCGGCTCGGCATCTACGTGAGCACACATGCTCCTCACATGGGGGGCTGGGAGCCACGGCTTTTAGGGCAAACGACAGAACCCCAAAAAGGAACATACTGGGAGGACAAACACTGCAAACAGACTTAAAACAGAGAGATACCAGGCGGTCATAGAGGCCTTGGGAGCCGAAATGCCTGGGTGTCCCTGCTGGAGTGAATGGCCTTCAGCCAGTCTCTCTGGGATTCTGCCCACCAGTGCATTCCAGGGAGGGCAAGTGTCCCAGGCCCTGCTCAGAACCAGTGCCCACACCTTGTCTCTGGGTGGGGAGGGCACCCAGTGGATAGTCCCACTACTCTGCTACTCTGTCTCCAGCCTCAAAGGAGAAGGCATTTGGGTGTTGTCACCATGGGAGGTGGAGATGTTTCCTGGGCAGCTCCAGCCCCTCAGATGTCCCCACACCTAGGCCCAGCCATCATTCAGTGGGGGCCAGAGCAGGTGTGGAGCTGTGCTTGTTCCCTTCTCAAGGAGTGTGCGGGAGGCATGGAAGCAGGGAAGGAAGCCTGTGCCTGTTGAGTTAGGAAGCACTCATCCAGCCTGGCCTCTGAGGCCCTCCATGACTCAGTTTCCCTTCTTGTTTCTCCTTCTTCGTGCCTGAAAGTCACAGCTCCAGCCAGTCTGTGTTTCTTCCTCTGCACACCTCCACCACTCTGTCCCCTGTGCTGGAGTCCATCTTCCCGTCCCTTCACTCTGTCAGTTCCTGCCCACTGGAATGTCCACAGGCCCCGAACCTCCCCACCCCCGGGAGGAGGAGCTCTCCCATGACTGTTTCCCGGAAGCACTTGACTTCCCTGCTGGGAAGGTTTTACAGCTGAGGGTTTTCCATGTCTTGTCCTTTTGTCCAGAATGAGGATGAGAGTTTTAGGGGCTGCTCTCTGCTTGACAGTCCTTGTTTTTTTGACAATCAGATTTTATTTCTTAAGTTCCTAATTGATGCTTTCTTAGTGTCTTTCATAGATCTTTTGTAAATTACATGAAATCCCTCTTAGAACAAGGCTAGATATTAAATTTTATCCTATCTTGTTTTTCGTACTTTTTTTTTTCTTTTTGAGACTGAGTCTCCCTCTGTTGCCCAGGCTGGTGTGCAGTGGCACCATCTCGGCTCACTGCAACATCTGCCTCCTGGGCTCAAGCGATTCTCCTGCCTCAGCCTCCTGAGTAGCTGGGGTTACAGGTGTGCGCCACCTCGCCCAGCTAATTTGTTTTTCTTACAACTTACAAACTTCAGGCTCCTTCCTGATTTTTCATCATTTGGACCAGCATGTCAGTTTCCTGGATATCAAGTTTATGTTTAGTTGTTTGGGGAAGGCTCCGTGACCAAGGCTTTGTCTTTAGGCATGCAGGGCCAGGTTTTTGTAACTCTGGTGTGTGTTGGGAGGATGCCCTGGGGCACTTCCAGGTCCTGGGAGGATTGGGCAATGAGGAGTGGCCGTGGGCTGGGCTGGCCATGACACATCCCCACACCCTCTGGTCTCAGGTCCACGCCACCCTGGAGCTATTCGCCCTGATGGTGGTAGTGTTTGAACTCTGCATGAAGTTACGCTGGCTGGGCCTCCACACCTTCATCCGGCACAAGCGGACCATGGTCAAGGTGATGTGTCCGCCCATCTGTCCCTCCCCTTGCAGCCTTTTCTCCCATGTCACCTTCAAACCTGTCTCTTTGGTACAATTCAGAATCCACCATGGACCCAGTCCATGCTTAGAGGTGTCACCCTAGGGTCCTTGTCCTGACCATGCCCTCAGCCTTGCCAGTGCCCTAGATGTTGTGGTGATGCCAGCAGTAGCTAATGTGATGGGGTGTTTAGTACCTGCCAGGCACTGGCGCAGTCACCTTGGAGAGAGGTGTGCTGCTCTCCCTGTTTTACATTCATCTGGAGACATGGGGTTCACACCCAGCTCTGCCCACTGCACCCGGGCTCACCTGTCCCTAGTGTTATGCGTTTTCTCTCTGTGCCGCAGAGAGTGGCGTGAGTAGGAGCACGTCAAGGTGGCACTTTGTAGTGTGTAGAGCATGTGTGCTACTCTAGGAGAGTGTAGCAAAGTAAGCGGAGCTGAAGAGGAGCTGCAGGCCCCAGGATCCCTGATGTGAGTAGGGAGGGCTGATCGAGGGGGCCTGGCAGAGTGGCAGTTTTGCCTCCTCAGTGGATACCAGCAGTCATGCTTCCCTTCGGCTTATTCTCCTGGTGCCACACACCTGAGCCAGCAGCTGGAGTTTTTTTCTTCTGGGGCTGCCTGATGTTGGCAGGAAGTGCGAGAGAGGGCTGGAGAGAAGAAAAGGCCTCCCGAGGTCAGAGTGGGGGCTGCCTCCCCAGCCCCCAATTCTAGGTATGCAGGATGACGGCTGGGCTGCAGGGCCTGACGGTGCTCCATGCCTGCCACCCGCAGACCTCGGTGCTGGTGGTGCAGTTTGTCGAGGCCATCGTGGTGTTGGTACGGCAGATGTCCCATGTGCGGGTGACCCGAGCACTACGCTGCATTTTCCTGGTGGACTGTCGGTATTGCGGTGGCGTCCGGCGGTAAGGCCCGGGTTGGAAGCTGGGCAGACAGTCACTATCCTGGCATGGCCTGACCTCTGGGCTGGTGGGGCAAGAGCTTGTGAGTCAGTTAGTGATGACGTCGACCCTGCATGCTGGTGGGAGTACACACACACTCACTCTCCCTCTGCCATTCCACCCACGCACAGGAGAAGGCGATCTTCCTGCCGCAGTGTAGGTTTGCGGCCTCTGGGTCCAGGGTTTTTTCCCATCTTTTCTGCAGCCTTCCAGAGCTGCTTCCTCGCTCTATGCGTGTTATCTACCCAAATGCAGGCAGCTCAGCAGCATCCATGCGACACAAGCAGACTCTCCTGCCATCTCCACTGAGGCTGTGGGACCAAACTCAAACCGGACCAAGCCTCAACTGAGATTTATTTTGGGAGACACAATCTGGAAAATTTCTTGGCTGGTCCACTGTTGCTGAGAGTGGGCTTGTAATTCATTCTTTGTGCCAATCTGCAAAGCTAGAAACAGGACTTGTCCTTGAAACAGGCCCAGTGTCCCAGGACTAAGTGGCCTTGAAATGTCTTCATGCCTTCCACATCCTGCTCATGGAAACTGACCTTTGTGCCCAAAGTGATGCCCTTGGCCTTCTGCTCTGTTCCCTGCTTGCAGGGCACTTGCCTCCTTGGGCCGTCACCAGGTGAAGGTGGCTGTGTGCTACACCTGCCCCAGTTCTTCCCCGCCACCCACTAAGTGGGGGTCTCAAGCCACTTTAGGAAAAAATGAAGCATGATGTCACACCAGGGTATGGCAGGGTTTAGTATTTCAAGTCAGAAGCACTAGGACCCCATCTCAACAAGGAGGAGTCCCAGACGGCCCGCCCCAGCTGGCACCTCCCCTGAGCTGGCCCATCTCTCCCCAGCAACCTGCGGCAGATCTTCCAGTCCCTGCCGCCCTTCATGGACATCCTCCTGCTGCTGCTGTTCTTCATGATCATCTTCGCCATCCTCGGTGAGTTCCTACTTCTCAGGCCTAGGCGCACTCAAAAAGCATGTTCACAGTGGATGAAAAATTATTTTGGGCCTGGCACAATGGCTCACGCTTATAATCCTAGCATTTTGGGAGGCCGAGGTGGGCAGATAATCTAGGTCAGGAGTTTGAGGCCAGCCTGGTCAACATGGTGAAATCCAGTCTCTACTAAAAATACAAAAATTAGCTGGGCGTGGGTGGCACACGCCTGTAATCCCAGCTACTTGGGAGGCTGAGGCAGGAGAATTGCTTGAACCCGGGATGCCAAGGTTGCAGTGAGCTGAGATCGTACCACTGCTTTCCAGCCTGTGCAACAACAGAGTAAGTGAGACTTTGTCTCAAAAAAAAAAAAGAGAAGAAAAATTATTTTGACAGTGCCTTAGTCCTTTTGGACTGCTATAACAAAATGCCATAGACTGCATGGCTTATAAACAACAAAAGTTTATTTCTTCCTGACTGGGTGGCTTATAAACAACAGAAGTTTGTTTCTCCCTGTTCTGGAGGCTGTGAAATCTGGAAGTCCAAGGTCAAGGGCCAGCCGTGGGTGTCTGGTGAGGGCCTGTTCCCTGATCCATAGGTGGTGCCTTCTGGCTGTGTCCTCACGTGGTGGAAGGCGACAGGCAGCTCTCTGGGACCTCTTTTTTTTTTTTTTCACCCAGGCTGGAGTGCAGTGGCACGATCTCGGCTCACTGCAACCTCCGCCTCCCAGGTTCAAGTGATTGTCCTGCCTCAGCCTCCCGAGTAACTGGGACTACAGGCATCCACCACCACACCCAGCTAATTTTCGTACGCTTAGCAGAGACGGGGTCTCACCATATTGGCCAGGCTGGTCTCTAACTCCTGACCTTGTGATCTGCCTGCCTCGGCCTCCCAAAGTGCTGGGATTACAGGTGTGGGCCACTGCGCCCAGCCTCTGGGACCTCTTTTATATGGGCACTAATCCCATTCAGGGAGACTTCACACTCATGACCTCTTCACCTCCAACAGCCCCCACCTCCTAACACCCTCAATTTGGGGATTAGATTTCAACGTAGGGATTGGGGCGGGGAACACAAACATTCAGACCAGAGCAGGTAGTTTCAGAAATTCAGAAAGATTTTAAAAATACGCCAGGCATGGTGTCTCATGCCGATTGTCCCACCATTTTGGGAGGCTGAGGCAGGCAGATCACTTGAGTCCAGGAGTTTGAGACCAGCACGAGACCCCATCTCTACCAAAAAAAAAAACAAAAACAGGAATTAGCTGGGCATGGTGGTGTGTGACATGCTCCTGTGGTCCCTGCTACTCAGGAGGTGAGGCAGGAGGATCACCTGAGCATGGGGACACAGAGGTTGCAGTGAGCTGTGACGGTGCCACTGCATTCCAGCCTGGGTGACAGCAAGACCCTGTCTCAAAATAAATAAATAATAATAACATGAACACCCATGGACCTACCATCCAGTTTAGGAAATGAAGCCTTAGAATAAAATGGAAGGCACGTTTGTGACCTTTAGTGATCATGATTCCCGCTTTCCCCAAAGGTACCCACTGTCCTTAGCTTATCATTCCCATGCACTTCTTTATATTTTGTTTCACATTTACGTTTCCCCAAGTGACAAAGAAATGATAAAGCTTTACATACTTAAAAAAGTCTCTAAGTGGTTATATGAGTGTCGACTTCTACACATTGGTCTTTCGCTCAATACTGTGTTTTTGAAATTTATTCCTGTTGATACATGTAGATGCCGTATATTCATTTTCACTGGAGCGGAGCAAGTATGCCAAAGCTTGTTAATCTGCTCTTCTGTTGGACGTTTTTCTTATCACAAATCCCACCGCAGTGAACACTCCTGTGTGTTTCCTGGTGCTCACGCTTGAGAGTTTCTCGAAGGCACTTGCCTGGGCCCTGAGAGACGGCAAGCTTCAGCTTCACTGGGTACAGCAGGGTCACAGGCTGCTCATTCAGGAGGGCTTGGTTTTTCACATGGGGCTGACTGTGATAGCCACACAGAGTCACAGGGCGTAGACCTTGGAAGCCCTGGTACTCAGCTGGGAAAGCCGAGGTCCTTTCACCAGGACTCCGCAGATGGCGAAGACAGTGGGACTCCAGAGCCCTGACTCTGAGGCTAGAGCCAGGCCCCACCCCTCCTGGCCCTCATGACTGCCTTGTCCTGAGTCATGGCTCTCACTTCCTCCCACCCGCCATCCCACTCTTGGTAGAATTTTGTTTGTGCTTCTCCAGGGGTAGGGCTGATTTCCCCTAGGGGCAGAGTTCCTCCCTTTTCCCACTCAGGATGTCAGGGACTCAGGGAGTGGTCCATTCCTGAAGGGAGGAAGTGAATGGCATTCCCACCCTGGGACCCTGGCTGCAGGGGAGCAGCGGATCCCTTTGGAATTTTACTCAGCTGTCATGATCTCAGAACCTAAGATTGCAAAACAGCAGCCTGGATTCCAGATCCAGCCTACAGATGGGTTTTGTTTGGTCTGAAAACTTGGAGCCAGCATTTTAAAATTAGATTTTACACAAAAATACAGACTTCCCCTCTTTTGAAAGAACAGAGCTGATAGTGCCCAGCACATTGCTGTAGAGCGGCAAGCGTCTGGTGCCTGCAGCCCTGCTCCCTTTCAACACAGCATGCATTCTTGGGGTGCTGCGGTCCCCAACAGTCCCTGCTGCTCTTCCTGACCTGCTGCATTCATTTGCCTGTATTTGCCCGGTCCTTTTCACACCAGGTTTTGGGACCTCTGCTCTAATCCTTTTGTTTATCTGTGTTTCCACCCGCTTCTAGGTTTCTACTTGTTCTCCCCTAACCCTTCAGACCCCGTAAGTAATTGGCACATTTGTCTGTCTCTTCTTTTATGGAGGACTTTTCCCTCAGACAGGGTCACCAGCGTGACCCTGTAGCCATGTGGGGAAGGGGGGCCCTGCCTGGTTTCTCATCATAGCTTGTGTGTGCACTGCACGTGGGAGTTCCCGTCACTCAGACTTGACCACTTCCTTCCTTGAGAGCTAGGGATCCCCTTTTCTGTCCTTCAAAGGGGTGCCACCAGGATCAGGTTTGGACCGTTGAAATATTTTGGCAGAGGAGTAGTGGCGGAGAGCCAGACGAATGGCCCAGACATGTGATTCCCTAGAAAAAAGTCCCCCCAAGTCAATAGTCTGCTTCTGCCAGAAACATCAGGTGCAGGAAAGGGGAGGCCTCTGGACTGCGTATTTGCTCTTTCCTCTGCCTCCCTCAGGGATTCCTTGAGAGATGCAAGAGCGGGCATGGCAGGGTGCGCCAGGTGGCCCATCACAGCCTGTTCCTGGCGGCCGTGTGCTCTTGGCTGGTCCTGACCTCTCCTCTGCCCCCTCTTCCCTTGCAGTACTTCAGCACCCTGGAGAACAGCATCGTCAGTCTGTTTGTCCTTCTGACCACAGCCAAGTAAGTGCAGACTCTGCCTTGCCTTTGGTCCTCTGCTGCCTTGCCTTTGGTCCCTAGGGTCTCCTCCTCTTTTCTGCAAAGTATATTCCACATCCCAGCACAGGCAGGTGCTGTGGTGCCGTTGGGAGATGGGGTTGGCCCACTGAGCATGAAGCCCAGGGGTGAGAGTAGGGGAACCGGGGTTGGAGGCTGGGAAGGCGAACAAGGAGCTGTCCTCTGCAAGGCATGTGCTCTGAGAGGATGGAGACAGGCAGATACAGCACGCCGGGTCACCCTCTGCAAATACAGTTTCCCAGATGTGATGATGCCCTCCTACTCCCGGAACCCCTGGTCCTGTGTCTTCTTCATCGTGTACCTCTCCATCGAGCTGTACTTCATCATGAACCTGGTGAGTGACTGTGCCTCAGGCTATATGCTGAAGCAGCCTGCCCCTACCCACACAGCGCTGGGCGCCATGGGAGTGGAGAAGTGGGGACTGCTTTCCGCCTCTCAGGGCAGAATGCTGGGGCAGGAAGTCCCAGACTCATAGTCAGGTGCAGTGTTGCAGGGAATGCCCTGTCAGGACTTCAGGAGTTCAGCCAGTTGCTGGGGGTGGCATCCTCACCAGGGCAGTGCTGCTGCTGCTGATAGTGCTGGATGTTAAACCCAGGCGACCCTGGGACCTTTGCATTCTTACATCAGAAATAGACAGTTGACCCTCAGTGTCCACAGGGATTGTTTGCAGGACCCCTTGTAGGTGTGAAGATCCACAGATGTTCAGGTCCCTTGTCTAAAATGGCAGAGTACTTGCAGATAACCTGTGCACATTCATCCTCTCGTATATTTTAAATTATCCTGCATTACCTATAACACCTAATACAATGTAAAAGCTATGTAAATAGTTGTTATACTGGGCCGGGCAGGATGGCTCACGCCTTTAATCCCAGCATTTTGGGAGGCCAAGGTGGGTGGATCCTTTGAAGTCAGGAGTTCGAGACCAGCCTGGCCAACGTGGTGAAACCCTGTCTCTACTTGCGAAAATTAGCTGGGTGTGGTGGTGGGCGCCTGTAATCCCATCTACTCGGGAGGCTGAGGCAGAAGAATTGCTTGAACTCAGGAGGTGGAAGTTACTGTGAGCCAAGATCATGCCATTGCACTCCAGCCTGGGTGACAGAGCGAGACTCCGTATTAAAAAAAAAAATTGTTTTACTATATTGTTTAGGGGATAATGACAAGAAAAAGAAGGCTGTACATGTACGGTACAGATGCAACCATCCTTTTGTTTTTGGAATATTTTTGATTTGCAGTTGTTTGAATCCATGGATGCAGAACTCACAGATATGGAAGGCCAACTATATTATAATAACTGTAAAAGCTGGCATTTAGTAAGCCTTAGCCACTTGGCACTATGCAAAGTGCTTTACATATAAGGATGAAATAATTTAATAAATAAACACAACCCTGAAGGTAGTGAGTATGGTTCTCGAAGTGCAGATGAAGAGACTGAAGGTCAGAGTGACAGTGTGATTTGCTGACGGCTGCATAGCTTGGAGTAGCCAGGCCAGGCCCATTCCAGAGCCCTGTTCCTAACCAGTCTGTTCAGTTGTACTCACATGCCAGAAATGTCTTGTGTATTTCTACCTCATTTATCAGGAACCATCAGAAAATCCAGTATAGAACACATTTGTGAAGGAGAACATAAAGCGCCTTTGCTCAAAGAACTTTGAGAGTATTTGTGGAGGCACAGACAGCCGCCAGGAATGTCCCAGCCATCATAGATCACATCCGACACCAGGCTGTTAGGCCGGTGCTCAGACCACACAATCCATGGCAGGAATAACGGGAAGAGGCTTCTGATCGAGTCTTGTGTTTATTTTTATGCTTCCGCAGAACATTCTCACACCAGTCACCACAGTCAGGCCCAGTATAGAAATGAAAATTATCTTCTCCAGGTAGACATGTGAAATCTAAAAAATTTTAAGTCCTTTTTTTTTTTTTTTCTGAGATGGAGTCTCGCTCTGTAACCCAGGCTGGAGTACAGTGGCACAGTCTCGGCCCACTGCAACCTCCACCTCCCAGGTTCAAGTGATTCACCTGCCTTAGCCTCCTGAGTAGCTGGGATTATAGGCATACGCACATGCCACTACACCCGACTAATTTTTGTATTTTTAGGAGAGACAGGGTTTTGCCATGTTGGTCAGGCTGGTCTCGAACTCCTGACCTCAGGTGATCTGCCCGACTCAACCTCCCAAAGTGCTGGGATTACAGGTGTGAGCCACAGCGCCTGGCCAAAATTAAGTCTTAAAAAGGAGAAAATATATTCTTGTTTTAATTCCTCAAAACCAAGAAGAAATATGTTGAGTACTTCTTTGTGTTTGATTTAATTTGCAATATATTTAGAGCTGTGAGAATTTAGGGCAACAGTCAACAAAGTACGGCCTGCTGGCCAAATTTGGCCCACAGCCTGTGTTTGTAAATACACAGGGACACAGTCATGCCCATTTGTTTATGTATAGTCTGTGGCTGATCACATGATATGACCACAGGTTAGTAATTGCAGCAGAGATCATTTGGCCTCCAGAGCCTAAAACAGTTGCTGTTGAACCCTTTACAGAAAAAGCGTGCTGACCTTTGATCCACAGGGAAAAAATGGGGGATCAGTTTGAGGGAAAGGACCAGAGAGTTTCCCTTAAAACATTTTTAAAGACAGAGAAAGTGTTTCTAAAAAGGATTCTTTCAAGTTCTTCCCCCACCTTCCATCCCCCTCTGATAAGCTAACTTTGGTATTAGCTAACTCTAGAACGTTATTTCCTTGCTTGCAGAGCCTCTCACTCCCCCTTTTCCTGGGCCACACATGAAACAGTGAAGGAGAAGTACAAAGAGGGCAGGGGGAGGAAGGGTACTTCTGGCTCGGAGGTCAGGAGGGCAGTGGGCAGGCAGCCTCCTCCTGCCACTGGCCAGAGTCAGACTGGGCTCAGAACCCAGATGCGCCCCTCTTGCTACTCTATCCTCCCCTGGCTTGCCCCTGCCCAGCCTGGGACAAGCTGGAACTGGGGAAGGGAGTGTGGGAAAGTGGAGGGGAACCTGGGAAAGATTGAGTAACAATGCCTTCATGTATCTGAAGAGGGAAATTTACAAGAGGAACAAAGGGCTTTCCTCTGTTGAGACTTGGGAGACCGACTTCCTACCCCATGAGGTGCAGGCAAAAGGGTCTCCCCAGGGCCTCTCTGGGTTGGCTGGATGAGAGCCCTGCCTAGATGATGAACCCATGCCCCCCTGCACCCCCTGCCCCAGCCACTCACGGCCCTGAACCAGGGCTCTGTGCTTCTCTCCCACAGCTTCTGGCTGTGGTGTTCGACACCTTCAATGACATTGAGAAACGCAAGTTCAAGTCGTTGCTACTGCATAAGCGAACCGCCATCCAGCATGCCTACCGCCTGCTCGTCAGCCAGAGGGTAGGAGCCATGGGCCAGGGAGGGGCTTGGTCCCTGTCCTCCCTCCCTTGCCCAGAGCAGCCCCTAAGCATGGCCAGGCCAGCGACTTTAGAAACCAGGAGCCCTGCCCTTGGAAGAATGAACAGAGCTGGAGTGGATCTGGAGTGGGTGCCCCAAGGGAAAGGGAGTAGTCTGGGTTCCACACTGCTCCTCCCTCTCCCCCAGAGGCCCGCCGGCATCTCCTACAGGCAGTTTGAAGGCCTCATGCGCTTCTACAAGCCCCGGATGAGTGCCAGGGAGCGCTATCTTACCTTCAAGGCCCTGAATCAGAACAACACACCTCTGCTCAGGTAAGAGCAGGTGCCTGGTAGGGGCAGCGTGGCCAGACAAGGCATTCATGTCTAGAGTGAACCAGGGCATGTGAAGGCCATGGAGGTGGGCAGGCCTATAGGCTTGTCGGAGACTTCAGTTTCCTCCACAGAGATGTTTATCCATGTAGACTTACAGACTGGATTCACCAGGATTCCTTTTGCAAGTGACAAAAGTCCAACACAAATCCAGTTCAAACTGACTTGAGAAAAAAGGAGCTCATGGAGTGGACTGGTCCAGCTGCTGGCCCTCGAACCCCCAGTGGGATGGGATAGTCCCATGTGAGCCAGGTGGACAGAGAGGGGTGAATATACTTCCCCCATCCCCTGCACACACCTGGCTCGGCCGCAGAGAACTGACCCTAGATCTCCAGGGGCAGGATTGGTCTTCCAGGCTGTTGATGACCAAGCCCTGTCCACAGCAGCCTGCTGTGGAGCTGAGAACAAGCCCTGTTTGAGCTGAGCTTGCAGTCCCAGGTGTTACATTAAGGCCCCTGCTAAAAGGCGAAGTTTCTGTCCTTGTAAGAATCCTAGTACTCCAGCAGCTGCCTCTCCAGGGCACTGACACTGTCCGTAGTTAGTGCAGTCGGTGGAGACTAAGTGGATTACGTATTCGTAGTACCTCAGGGTCAGAGGAGATCCAAACAATCGCAGGTAAAGGATCCCCCAGCACTGCTGTGCTGGGACTCACACAGTGTCCCCTCCCTTCCTCCTACCCTCACCCTGTAAAGGTGTCCGTAGGCAGGCAAGTAAGAGAAGCAAAGCCCAGTGGAACTATGTTCTGATATTTTGTCCCTTTTTATTTTGCTTTTGGCAGCCTAAAGGACTTTTACGATATCTACGAAGTTGCGGCTTTGAAGTGGAAGGTGAGTTCTCCTCTGAGACCATAGAAGGAGTAGACAGACAGGTCCCCAAGTGGGGCAGTGAGAAGCAGGGACACCCCAAGATCCAGCTCTCTCCCTGCTACAGCAGCTCAGCCCCCAGCTTGGCATGGTACACTTCAGGGATCACAGGTGGCCCCCAGCCCCCAAATCTGCCCTCACATTTGTGACATAGTGTCATGGTTAACAGCACCCAATCTCACTTAGACCCCATTAGTCACTGTGTGACATCAGGCAGGTTGCTGAGCCTTTCTGAGCCTTGTTTTGCCTGGGAAGTGGCATAATGATAATCCCTACTGACAAAGCTAATTTCAGGACTATACTAAAATAATGCCTCTGCATGGCACATTGTAAATGCTTGGTACACACTGGCTGGCTATGTTGTCATATAGGTCCCTGAAGGTTAACATTGTTCCCCAGTTTAGCAGGGTGAACAGGAAAGGAAGCCAGCATCCTGGCTCCAGGGCACGGCTCTGGTCCCTGGCCCTGACACCTTCCCTCTTGGTCCTGTTGTCTACCAGGCCAAGAAAAACAGAGAGCACTGGTTTGATGAGCTTCCCAGGACGGCGCTCCTCATCTTCAAAGGTAAGTGGGCTTGAATATGGCAGGTGTTGGCAGCTGGGGGCTGATGGAAGTTTTCAGAGACCACAGAGGAGCATCTGAGGAGAGGTTCAGACAGGTGTGTGTGTGTGTTTGTCTGAATGTGTGTGTGAAGAGAGCGTGATTACCCCAGCAGGGAGGTAAGCGTGGTAGGAAGCAGATTAGGAGAGAAATGGGTAACTTAACCCAACCAAAATGGGTAACTTAACCCAACCAAGACATTTGGGGAATTTTTCTTTTTTCATACAAAAGCAAAGATATTCATTGAAGAAACCTGAAAGTGAGATAATTAGAAGTAAATGGAAATTTACCACCCAGATAACCACTGTTAATTCTCTGATGTGTTTCCCTCCGTGCCATTTTTCTATGCATTTTTAAAACAATAGGGTGACATTATATATTCTATTCTGTTATCTACCTTTTCATCCAATTTTATATATATATATATATATATATTTTTTTTTTTTTTTTTTTTTTGAGACGGAGTCTCGCTCTGTCGCCCAGGCTGGAGTACAGTGGTGCGATCTCAGCTCACTGCAACCTCCGCCTCCCAGGTTCAAGTGATTCTCCTGCCTCAGCCTCCTGAGTAGCTGGGACTACAGGCACTGGCCACCGTGCCTGGCTAATTCTGTGTGTGTGTGTTTTTAGTAGAGACAGGGTTTCACCATGCTGGCCAGGCTGGTCTCGAACTCCTGACCTCGTGATCTGCCTGTCTTGGCCTTCCAAAATGCTGGGATTACAGGAGTGAGCCACCATGCCCAGCCCCAGTAATATATTTTTACCCTCTTCTTATGACAGGATGTACACTTACTTTGCATGACCCCTTGAATAATGCTTGTGTAGTGTAAAGTTTGAAAATTTGAAATTGGGTGCTCATATTATTAACCTGACAATTGCCCGTTAATTTCATGCCAGTTTCAGCAGTGGTCAGCAGAGCTTTGTCTTGCTCTATCTCGATTCCAGGTTGCTCAGCCTCTCCCCAGAGCAGCTGCAGTCAGTGCAGTCTTGTCTGGGGGTCTGAACAGAAGTGTGGGTACCACTCTTTGAGTAGGACCCTCCTTTCTTAACCTCTGGGCTAAAGACCATGCTTACCTGCATGCACAAAGAATGTGGTAGGTGGTCGCACCTGCCCAGAAGGAGATAATAATAATAAAGGATACGGGGCCCGGTACAGTGGCTCATGCCTGTAATCCCAGCACTTTGGGAGGTTGAGGCGAGCGGATCACAAGGTCAGGAGATCGAGACCATCCTGGCTAACACGGTGAAACCCCATCTCTACTAAAAATGCAAAAAATTAGCCAGGCGTGGTGGCTGGCACCTGTAGTCCCAGCTACTCGGGAGGCTGAGGCAGGAGAATGGTGTGAACCCGGGAGGCGGAGCTTGCGGTGAGCCGAGATCGCACCACCGCACTCCAGCCTGGGCGACAGAGCAAGACTCCATCTCAAAAAAATAAAATAAAATAAAAAATAAAAAATGAAGGATACGGTAGGGGAAACAAGTGCATAAATTTACATTTTAACAAGTCTTTTCTTCAAATAGGCATTAATATCCTTGTGAAATCCAAGGCCTTCCAGTATTTCATGTGTAAGTATGAAATATCTCCACTCTAGGCCACTTTCCCCCGAGTCCGTTGCTGTTCTAGAAGCAGGAGAGGCAAGAGATTGGTCCTAGAATCCTGTGTTTGACTTTTTACTGTGGGGAATTCTCAGCATGTATAAAATTGGAGAAAACATTACCACACGCATCCCCGTGCCCGTCACCCATCTATATCCTCACTCCGGCTCATCATCCCCTCTAGCCCTAGATTTTTTGGAAGCAAATTCCAGAACTACAGAGTTGATTGGTCGATATGTCTCTTGAGTTTGTTTTAATCTCTAGGCTCCTCTTCCTCCCCTCATGCAGTATTTAGGTGAGGAAGCAGGATTTGAGTTTTGTGTGTTCCTCTGTTGCCCTTTCCTGGAATTTAGTAGTTCTATCTAGAGCTATGCTATGCGGTGTGGAAGGCATTGGCCACATGCGGCCATTTACATTTAAGCTAATTAAAATGAAAAAATCAGCTTAGCAGTCACATTTCAAGTGCTTAATAGCCACAAATGGCTAATGACTACCAGTGGGATGGTGCAGATAAGAAAATTTTCATTGTCACGAAAATTCCCTTGGATAGTACTAACCTAGAGGCTTGATCCAATTTGGTCTTTCCAAGGAGCTCTGGTTCCTTTCAGTAGGAGATGGTGTTAGAGACACAATTCGAGGCGTTGAGTGCTCGTTGCTTGGGTTGGTCATTGTTTCTAGGCCTTCCCATGGACAGAACTAGGGTTTTGTTTCTTTAAAGATAAACTGTTGTGAGTTCATGCTGATACTTCACATTCAGGCCTGCAGGGATTTTAAGATTAAGAATCTAGATGTGTAAGACTGATTTCATGAATCTTACACATCTAGATTCTCAATCCTTTTTTTTTTTTTTTTTTTTTTGTGAGACAGAGTCTCATTCAGTCTCTCAGGCTAGTGTGATCTCGGCTCACTGCAACCTCCACCTCCTGGGTTCTAAGTGATTTTCCTGCCTCAGCCTCTCGAGTAACTGGAATTACAGGTGTGCGCCACCACGCCTGGCTATTTTTGTATTTTTAGTAGAGATGGAGTTTCACCATGTTGGCCAGGCTGGTCTCGAACTCCTGACCTCAGGTGATCCACTTACCTCAGTCTCCCAAAGTGCTGGGATTACAGGCGTGAGCCACGTGCCTGGCCTAGATTCTCAATCTTAAAATCCAGATTGTCTTTGAAGACAATCAGACACCAACAAAGAAGAAAAATATCCAGGTTCCTAACTATACTGGCACAGTTATTCATTTGCTTTATCTCACAGTCCCAGGATAACAACTGCAACGCAATCCCAATGATATAATTCCTGGAAACATCAGTCTGGGGATGTACATTCAGATTACTGTGGGGTTTTTTTGTTTGTTTGTTTGAGACAAGGACTTAGTCTGCGCCAACAATGGGACAGTCATAGTTCACTGCAGCCTTGACTTCCCAGGCTCAATCCATCCTCCCACCTCAGTCTTCTGAGTAGCTGGGACCACAGGTGCGCACCGTCACACCCGGCTAATTTTTTTGTTTTTTGTAGAGTTGGAGTGTCCTCATGTTGCTCAGGCTGGTCTCGAACTCCTGGCCTCAAGCCATTTTCCTGCCTTGGCCTCCCATAGTGCTGGGATTACGGGTGTGAGCCACTGTGCCTGGCCTTGTGTTTTAAGGTCACCTGGAATAGTTCCTTTCCATATGGACATGTCACCAATGGGATATACATTTGGATTTTTTTATGCCATGTTATTTTTTATTTTTTGGGATTGCTTTTGACATTTTATTTTATTTTATGGCCAGGCATGGTGGCTTAGACCTAAAATCCCAGCACTTTGGGAGGCCGAGGTGGTTGGATTGCTTGAGCCCAAGAGTTCGAGACCAGCCTGGGCAACATGGTGAGACCCCCATCTCTACAAAAAAAATACAAAAGTTAACTGAGTGTGGTAACTCACACCTGTAGTCCCAGCTACTTGGGAGGCTGAGGTGGGAGGATCACCCGAGCCTGGGGAGGTTGAGGCTGCGGTGCGCCGTGATGGCGCCACTGCACTCCAGCCTGGGCAACAGAGTGAGATCCCCCATCTCAAAAAAAAAAAAAAAAAACCCAAATTTTGTTTCATAATTACGTAAATTAGGACTGGGCATGGTGGCTCATGCCTGTAATCCCAACACTTTGGGAGGCCGAGGCAGGCAGATCACTTGAGGTCAGGAGTTCGAGACCAGCCTGAGCAATGTGGTGAAACCCCATCTCTACCAAAAATAGAAAAAAGTAGCCATGCACACCTGTGGTCCCAGTTACTTGGGAGGCTGAGGCGGGAGGATCGCTTGATCCTGAGAGGCAGAGGTTGCAGTGAGTTGTGGTGGCGCCACTGCACTCCAACCTGAGTGACACAGCGAGACTCCATCTCAAAAAAAAGCAAAAAAAATTATGTAAAATACATGGTTCCAAGTCAGATCTACAAAAAAATATATATATTGAAGGAAATTTCATTTCTATCCCTGTCACTTCCCACAGTGGACAACTTTTATTTATGGCTTCTTCCATTGTTTAAAACCTGTAAGTTGGATGCATATCAATATCTCTGACTTAACCAATAGCATATTTTATGCACTTTTTTCTGCCACCTGGCTTTTTGCAGTTAACAATGTGCCCTGGAGACCAATTCATGGTAATATGTAGAAATGAGGTTGGGTATGGTGGCTCACACCTGTAATTCCAGCACTTAGGAAGGCAGAGGCGGGTGGATGGTTTGAGCCCAGGGGTTTGAAACCAGCCTGGGCAATGTGGCAAAACCTCAGCTCAACAGAAAATACAAAAATTAGCTGGCGTGGTAGTGTGCGCCTGTGTTCCTAGCTCCTCAGGAAGCTAAGGTGGGAGGATCGCTTGAGCCCAGGAGGTGGAGGTTGCAGTGAGCCAAGATCACGCCCCACTGTACTTCAGCCTGGGTGACAGTAAAACCCTGTCTAAAAAAAAAAAAAATTAATATGTAGAAATGTACCTCGTTTCTTTTCTTTCTTCTCTCTTAGAGAGAGGGTCTTGCTCTGTCACCCAAGCTGGAGTGCAGTGGCACAAGCATAGCTCACTGCAACCTTGACCTCCTGTGTTCAAACGGTCCTCCCACCTCAGCCTCCTGAGTAGCTGGGCCCACAACTAGCACACCTGGCTAGTTGTTTTTATTTTTTGTAGGGATGTGGTCTCCCTGTGTTGCCCAGGCTGGTTTCGAGCCGCTGGGCTCAACGCAATCTGCCTGCCTCAGCCTTCCAAAATGCTGGGATTACAGGTGTGAGCCACTGTACCCAGCCTGTGTTTGTTTTTATGGTTAAAGTATGCCACTTTATGAACGTATCATAGTCTGCTCAACCACTCCCCTACTGATGATCATTGAGATTGTTGCCAGTGTTTTGCTATCACAAATAGTGCTGCAGTGAATAGCTTTCAGATACATCTTACATTTTTGCCAGTGCATCATTGGGATGGTTTCTGGAAAGTGGGATCGCTAGGCGAATGGCTTAATGCATATGCAGTTTTTCTAAAGAGTTCATGCAATTTTTTAAAATTAGAAGTCTCTAGGGGAAAACACATGTTTTCAATCCTTGAATGCCTTGTATATTGTCCATCTTTTACACCAATTTGGAATAATCTCTACATCATAACTGGTGTTCACACAGTGACAGAGGGAGTGTTTTTAGAAATTTGTAGCTGTTTCTAGGTGAAAACACTGGTCGATTTAGCTCCCTTGGTAAGAGCACTGAGCAGAAAGACGTTCCCAATCAAATGGGTGTGTGGAGCAGCCCTGTTCTCCCCATCCCATAGAGCTCCAGGAAGTTAACCAGGGACGGCAACTGTGACCTGCAGATTTCTAAGCCCCCCTGTTATTTCTCTGTCTTTTACGGGCCTGTGTATTTCAGACTTGGTGGTGGCAGTCAACGGGGTCTGGATCCTCGTGGAGACGTTTATGCTGAAAGGTGAGCCCTGCTTGGGGACTGGCCGTGTCCTGGCCGGCACACCCAGCTTGCCTGTGAGCTGCTACTTCTCTGCCTTACAGGTGGGAACTTCTTCTCCAAGCACGTGCCCTGGAGTTACCTCGTCTTTCTAACTAGTAAGTTTCTGACATGGCTTTGCTGGACTGCTTGTTTTAAAATTGTCTGGGAGAACTTTTATTCAGTATAGAACCTCATGGTTCTTCTCTAAAACAGGAAGCTATAAAGAGACGGAGTATTTAGTCGGATTCCGTGTTGTCCCTGTTTAAAACTCTTTCGTGGTTGTCCACTGCCCTCTGGATGGAGCCCAGAATCCTAGGCGTGTGTGGCCCTCCACTCGCTTGCCAGCGCCGTGTCCCCCGCTGCACGCTGTTGCCCTCCTCAGTGGCCTCTGCTGCCTGCTGCTCTCGCCTGCCTCTGGGCTGTGCATAGGGGTTTCCTCTGCCTGGTGGCGTCTCCCCCAGCCTCTTCCTGATTTTCCTGCTCCTTCTATCAAGTCTGAGCACACTGTGCTGTCATTCCCGGTTGGCGTCTTTTCTCCCACCGAGCTGATAAGCTCTCTGCCCCAAGGGGTGCCCTGCACTGGTCACTGTTGCACACCTGGTACCCAGTGCAAGGCCCAAGATGGAAGGGGTGGTCAGGACACACCTGTTGGATGGACAAATGGTTAGCAGGGCCCTGCCCAGAGACGGGAAGGGAGGATTTCTCTCTCTCTTTTTTTTTTTTGGCAGGATCTTTCTCTGTTGCCCAAACTGGAGTGCAGTGGTGTGATCATAGCTCACTGCAACCTCAACCTCCCGGGCTCAAGGGATCCCAAGTAGCCTCAGCCTCCCAAGTAGCTGGGATTATAGGCACACAGCGCCACCATGCCTGGCTAATTTTTGTATTTTTTGTAAAGACGGGGTCTCACTATGTTGCTCAGGCTGGTCTCCAACTCCTGGGCTCAAGTGATCCTCCTCTCTTGGCCTCCCAAAGTGCTGGGATGATAGGCATGAACTACTATGCCTGGCCAGTTTCTTTTAAGCAGATTACTCAGTTGCCCACCATCTGGGCCCTCTCATGGAGCACCTGCTCTCATGGTGGGACATGAGTGAGGCCTGGGCTCAGCCTGGAGGGCACATGGCCAGCAGGAAGGCTGCAGACTGTGGAGGAGCCTCAAAGAGGAGACCAAGCAGGGGGAGGATGTGGCAGGGCTGCTGCCGATGGACTCCTTCTGTCCGCAGTCTATGGGGTGGAGCTGTTCCTGAAGGTCGCCGGCCTGGGCCCTGTGGAGTACTTGTCCTCCGGATGGAACTTGTGAGTGGACAGCATGTTTCTGACGCAAAGCTGAAACTCTGATGGTGGCCCCAGACCCTTCTCTGCACACCCCAATCCCGGGCCATTTCTGGAATTGCAGAGGGAAGGTCTGAGGACGGGCCGAGGCCTGTGTCTCCCTCAAGCAGCCCTGCCCCCAGCCCAGGAACTCCCCAGGGTCAGGCCCTTGTCTGAAGCCTCTCAGACCACCCACGCCAGTCCTTCTGGAAATGGCCTCTTGAGGTGCCACAGGCTGGTTGGCTCTTCCTGAGTCATTAAACTTTTTTCTCTTCCATAAAAACCACAATGCCCACAGAGAAGAATGCTCCCCCACCTTCCTTGATCAGCAGTATTGAGACCCATGTGGCCCTTCTGCCTGTTCCCCAGAGCGTGGGAGGTCACTTCCCTGCCCTGTTCAAGTTAACTGGCCTGTGAAGTCAGGTTGCACTCATGAGGTCTTGGGCCGCGAGGGCGAGGGGGTTGACACGCAGAGTGGGCCGCAAGGGCGAGCGGATTGACACGCAGAGTGGGCCGCGAGGGCGAGGGGGTTGACACGCAGAGTGGGCCGCGAGGGCGAGCGGATTGACACGCAGAGTGGGCCGCGAGGGCGAGGGGGTTGACACGCAGTGTGGGCCGCGAGGGCGAGGGGGTTGACACGCAGTGTGGGCCGCGAGGGCAAGGGGGTTGACACGCAGTGTGGGCCGCGAGGGCGAGGGGGTTGACACGCAGAGTGGGCCGCGAGGGCGAGCGGGTTGACACGCAGAGTGGGCCGCGAGGGCGAGCGGGTTGACACGCAGAGTGGGCCGCGAGGGTGAGGGGGTTAACACACAGAGCAGAGCTGGGAGGAGCTGACAGCACATGTGTGCCCTGTGTGTCTGGAGAGGAGAGAGGGTCCTCTGGCTTGGGGCAGGGCAAGCTGTTCTAATGGGAATCTCACTGGAAGGGCCTGCTCTCTTCCCTCAGAAAGTTCCTTGGGGTCAGGCTGGTCCACAGTGTGTAGCCAGATGTCTGTTGAGCGGAAGACGAGGCCTGTCTCCAGGGCTGCGGACGCTGGGGCTTCTTTCCTCCCCGTCGTTAGACCAGCACGGGGCCCTTTGGAGGGGGTTCCCGGGCATTTCTGGCCCTGGGGTCAGAGCACGGAGGCCTGACTCCCAAGACGCATGCTGGGACAGGGCCTGGCCACCTTGAAGCCCCAGGGTGGCAGGAAGTTCTTCCCGCAGCCGGCTGGTTCCTGCTGGTGTTGCTGTGTCTGGGCTCCGTGGGAGGGTGGCTGTGCACGGTGCCGGGGAGGGGAGCAGGCGCAGGGAGGCTCAGGGCCACAGGGTGGACCTTGGCCTCTCCCCTCCTGCAGGTTTGACTTCTCCGTGACAGTGTTCGCCTTCCTGGGACTGCTGGCGCTGGCCCTCAACATGGAGCCCTTCTATTTCATCGTGGTCCTGCGCCCCCTCCAGCTGTTGAGGTGATGGGGCAGGGCAGAGCTGGAGAAGGAGAGGGAGAAAGAGAGGGAGGGCGGGAATGCCCCAGGATTGGTCCAGGAAGTGACCCAGAACGAGCCAGAAGGTTCACAAGCCAGAGTCATAGATGTCACCCCCTGCAGAAGTGCCATGGGGTCACCATCCCCACCCCTGAAGGTATGCAGGCTGCCTGTGCCCATCCCCTCACTGCACCAGGCACCTCTGGGCAGAGAAGCCCAGCCCATGACTCATGTGCACCCCACCCGAGGTGGCATGGCACCAGCCACAGGAGCCCATGTGCTCAGTCGCAGATCACAGAGCCACAGGTCTGAGGCTTGGAAGGGCCTTTCAGGGACCCCTCGTGCTTTTCTGGCTCAGTCTCTAGTGGAGAAAAGTCCTGTGTGGGTCCCAGTGATTTCCCAGGGACACTGGAGGAAGTCCCAGGCGAGCCTGCCCCACTGATGGTATCTCTTCCTAATGAGGGGTCCCGAGGTTCTCTGCCCTCAGAGCCTGGGTTTGCCTCCTGACCCTCCAGCTGCAACCCCATCCACGTCCACCCCATCCTCTCCCAAGGCGGGATGGGCAGGGCAGGTGCCGAGAGGGGTGGTGGCGTCTATGGAGGAAAAGCCTACCGCTTTGGCGTGTGGGGGTGGCCTGGGGCTGTCCCTGAGTGTCCGCCTCCCTCCCACTCCCTGCCACCCTTCTTCACTGGTGAGCTCCGTTGCCCCTACTCCCTGGGGCACACGGGCTTCTCCCCCGTCTTCCCCGGGAGCCAGGCCTTGCTCCTGTCTGAGCCTGCAGCTCTACTGCAAGGAGACGCAGCCTGGCCCTGCTCCTCGTCGTGAAAGGGCCCCGCCCAGCCGGTGTCCTGGGGCCGCCACGGTCCCTTCCTTCATGCATGAGTCACCTGGGCCAAGCTCAGGGTTGGTGGCGCCCAAGGGAGCAGACGCAGGTGGAGGAGATGCCCTCGCCTGTCTTCAGCATGTGGCGTGTGGAAGGCGGGGCTGGCATGTTCTGAGGGCGGGGGCTGAGGCATGCGCCTGTGTGTGGAGGTGACGGGCGTCCTCCTCACTCAGGCTGTTTAAGTTGAAAGAGCGCTACCGCAACGTGCTGGACACCATGTTCGAGCTGCTGCCCCGGATGGCCAGGTACTGCCAGCCCCCACCCCGGCCTGCAGGTCCAGGTGCCATGCGGTGGCGCCCCGTGGGGGCGGGAGCCGAGTGGCAGTTGGGGGAAAGGAGTTCCACAAAGGACTGCAATCGAGGGCCTGACAGGGCTCCAAGGAGCCTGGAATCTTGACCACCACAGGTCTCCTGGGCACCATTTTTCTCCACTGACCTGTCTGACATGTTTAGTAGGGAGGGCAGGGAGCTGTCAACTTGCTTACCACCTGTGTCTACGTTCACAGGTAAGGGGTCACCTGTGAGTCTACCTTCACAGGTAAGGGGTGAATCTCTGGGAAAGGGGCATTTGTTCATAGCGTCCTGACTTGAGCCGTTTTTCACCCCAGAGCTGCCCCACGAGGCCCCTTCCCCGCAGGCACTTTCCAGTTGGTGAACCGACCTGGGGCGTGGCCCCACAGTCAGCCCCACGGGTCCGAGGAGGCCGGGGCTGTGGAGGAGTCGTTCCCCCTCCTGCCGGCCCCGCATCACCCTGCCCCTGTCGCCCCACAGCCTGGGCCTCACTCTGCTCATCTTTTACTACTCCTTCGCCATCGTGGGCATGGAGTTCTTCTGCGGGATCGTCTTCCCCAACTGCTGCAAGTGAGTAGGCGGTGCCCGGCCCCACCCAGCCCCAGGCAGTCTGCGTTTCCGGGGCAGTGGGCTGGCCAGGGCCAGGATTGGTGTCCTTGTGGCCTTGGGGTCCTCAGGGATGCTCCTCTCTGAGCAACCACCTTGCTTTGCTTTCAGGGCTTAGTTGAGTGCAGTGAGCTAAACGAGGGTCCTGGACTCAGGGTCCCTGTTTCCCCATCCCCCAGATAGGGTCGGGAGCTGTCAGCTCACCCTCTGCCGAGGGCTGGAGACCACCCCTGAAGTAGCCCGGGTCCAGAGGTCAAGTGCCATGGCTTCTTCCCACTTCTCTCCTGGAGTGGCTGGGGACCTGGGCCAAGACCAGTCTTCTAGGGACAGCATCATAGGATAAGACAGACGGACACGTGCAAGAAGGTCATGGTGCTCAGGGATGGGGAGCAGAGAGTGAAATCTCCCATGACCACTCCCTTTCTCCTGAGCCGCCACAGTGAAATCACTGCACACCGCCATTCATTCATCCTCAGTTCAGAGTCCTCTTGCATTTGGTCTTTACAGCCTCAAGCACTGATGAGGAAACAGTTTTACAAAGACACTGGGAGCTTTGAGACCCAGTTTGAGTGTCAAGCTTGGTCTGGAACCAGAAGCCTATAGCAGTGGGTCCCAGACTTTAGAGCACATTGCAGTCACCAGGGAGCTTAGTGCAAGCTCGAGACCTCACCCGTGCATCTGATGCGTGCATGTGGGAGGAGGCTCCCTGGTGGCCCAGACACTAGACTTCTATAAACATTAGCATGGATATTAACAGCCATAAAGGATTAGAAGAAAAGTGGCAAATATGAGCTCCTCAAAACAGGGCCAACCTTTTCAAATACTTGCTCAGGCCAAGTATCAGGGAAGCCCAAGTAGGGAATTCTTTCCCTGGGGCTGTGGCCTAGTGTCCAGCCTCAAGAGCAGATCCTAGATGGGGCAGGTGCAGAGGAGGCCCTTGCCTCTCCTCCCTCCCCTGCAGGCAGTGGTGAGAGAGAAGGCCCCGCCTGCAGCAGAGAACTTCCAGGTGACAGAGGTGGGTCAGGCTGGCCAGGGGCTCCCACCAAGCCCAGCAGGCAGGAGTAGCCAAGGGCGTTCCTCCAGCGGGGACCCAGGCATGAGGTGGAGAGGGTTAGGCAGGAGACGAGACTGCGGGCAGAACAGAAGGATCCTTGGCCAGACTTTGGTTTGTTTCAGAGTTCTGTCCTCTCTGGAGGTGACCGATCGCCTTGTGACCCTCCCTCCTTTCTCCCTTGTGCTCCGGCCAGCACGAGTACAGTGGCAGACGCCTACCGCTGGCGCAACCACACCGTGGGCAACAGGACCGTGGTGGAGGAAGGCTACTATTATCTCAATAATTTTGACAACATCCTCAACAGCTTTGGTGAGTGGGAAAAATCACAGGGGGCACATTCCCTGGGGACCCCGCCCTTGTCACCACGGGTCCCAGAGGTGTTGTAGCAAAAGCCTCCAGCACCGAGGGCCACACTTTCTGGAAGCCTCCCCGGCCCAGGTGGAGGACATGGTCTGCCCAGCCTTAGCAGTGAAGTCCAGGCCGGATCCCGGAGCTCACTCGGTTGCCTGATTCCACTCTTTCCTGATACTTTCTCAGTATTTGGGGAGGAGAAGAGCTGCAAGCCTTAGCTGGGCGGGGTCCCCTCATCACACTGCCACTTGCAGAATGGGACCCAGCCACACCAATGCTGCTGCAGCTGCACTGCCCCCCGGCTCAGGCTGCCCACAGCCCTCTGCCCACCCCCATGAAGAGGCGAACACAGCCAAACCGCCTCTCCAGAAAAAGGGTGTGCCCCCATGACACCCCAGATCTGCATCCAGTAAGATCCAGATGGTCTCGTGTGGCACAGGCTGCCGAGGCAGAGGGTGTGTCCTCTTGGGGCCGGGCCACAATGTCCTGTGGAGCCAGCGCCCTAGGAGTGCCTTGCCTGGTCCTTCCTGGAGCTCACAACCCAAGCGGTCATATGGTGACCCCCTCATCTCAGCACACGGCACCCAGGGTAGCTGGCAAGAGGCCACTCGAAGTCGACTTTGAAGTGGGGCCTCATCAGAATGCTTCTTTCTCCCTTCCCCTGGCAGTGACCCTGTTTGAGCTCACAGTTGTCAACAACTGGTACATCATCATGGTAAGAGCTCGGGCACCTCTGGGGGTGTCTTCCTGTCAGTCCTGGGGTCGACCCTGGGTCTCCCCCCAACCCAGGGTGTATCATTCTTCCCATAGCCGCAGGGCTGGGGGTCTTGAGTCATGCTGTGTTGGTGTTCAGCCACAGGATGGCTGAGCGCGGGGAGCCACCCTTCCCAGCGTTGGCTGGACTCGGCTGTCACTCCCATCTCCCTGCATGTTCCCAGCAGCCAGGAGATGGCACTTAAACTCTGGGTCTCTGTCCTGTCTTGCCCACTGTAAGGATGACTTTTCCCTCTAGTGACAATGCGGCGAGCATTGCTGATCTCTTTATTCCATTCCTTAAACTTTCCCGACTCCCAGCCCTACTGAGATAAAGGCTGCCCTGGTTCTGGATCCAGCCGTCCAAGGGAGCAGCCAGGGCTCCTTCAGCAGTCAGGAATTAGTGTTGGGCCCAGGAGGGCAAGCTCCCACCCCTCCGTCTCTCACAGCCAGCCACAAATCAGGGTGGGGTCTACGAAGAGCCAGGGCCATGGAGCAGCCTGTGTAGACGGGGACCTGCCCTGCATGGGCACCCCCTCACTGGCTGCTTCCCTTGGTCTCCAGGAAGGCGTCACCTCTCAGACCTCCCACTGGAGCCGCCTCTACTTCATGACCTTTTACATTGTGACCATGGTAGGTCCCGGACCACAGAACGCTCTTTGTCCTTCGTCTTCCATGTCACCAGCTGCCCCTGCTCTTCAGGCTGCAGCGTCAGGGAGTGGGGCTGGGTCCCATATGGCTGGGCTCTGTTGGGCGTGGGCTGCGCAGCCACGGACACTCACCCACCCTCCTCCCCTGTCTTGCCCCTCCCTTCCTGTCCCTGGCCAGGTGGTGATGACGATCATTGTCGCCTTCATCCTCGAGGCCTTCGTCTTCCGAATGAACTACAGCCGCAAGAACCAGGACTCGGAAGGTCTGCAGGGATGATGCCTTGGGCATTTGATGTCTGCCGCCCACCCAGCTCTGTCTGTCTGTCTGGGTGGCCGTCCAGCCAGCCATCAGGCTGTCATTTTTCTGCTGTCTGGTTGTCCAGCTTATCTATCTGGCTTGTCTTTCTAGATCTTGTATTTGTATTGATTTTCAAATATTTAATGTCAGAAGACATGATCTAACTTTAAAAAAAGAGTGCATGTCATAGTTGGAGAAAAATCAAGAAGTAGAGAAAGGCTTATGTGGCAGCAGCAGCCTGTGCCCTGCCTTCCCCCTCCCATCCTCCAGAGGCTTCTCCCTCTTAGCTATTTCTTCTGTTAGTCATCTCCACATTTCTCAATAATAGGTTCACATTACGGTTCTTGATTTAAATGGTGTAAACATTGTTTACAGCACAGGCAAATCGTATTCCTGCTGCAACTGGATAGTGCTGGCTTTAGTGACTGCCTCACTCTTCCCAAATTCAAAACTGTCCGCCCTTGATTGCTTGAGCCCAGCAGGTCATGGCTGCAGTGACCATGATCACACCACTGCACTCCAGCCTGGGCAGCGGAGTGAGACCCTGTCTCTCAAAACAGACAGAATACCCCGTGCCCACACCTGTTACTACTCATCCTCAGATCTCTGTCGTATCAGACCGTCTGACCATTTTCTCTGTGTTTAGAGGCCCCTTCCTGAAACCCTCTGGCCCTGTAACAGCTGCTGGCTAGACCTGCACTCCTGACATCACAGCAGAGGGAGGGGAAGGGAAGGGAGGGCCAAGGAGGAGAGCAGGATGCCAATGCAGTGTCGGTTTAGAGAGGGAACCTTAAGACCCCTTGTGGAGGGGGGTCAGGGAGGTACAAGACCCAGCCAGGTTGGCAGCTCCAGCCCCAGGCCCTTCCCACACCTGCCCTCCCTCCCTGCAGTTGATGGTGGCATCACCCTTGAGAAGGAAATCTCCAAAGAAGAGCTGGTTGCTGTCCTGGAGCTCTACCGGGAGGCACAGGGGGCCTCCTCAGACGTCACCCGGCTGCTGGAGACCCTCTCCCAGATGGAGAGATACCAGGTGAGGAGCCCAGGCCCTGGTCCGAAGGAGGGAGGCAGGTTTCACCATGGTGTGATCCCTTCCCTCAGATATTGGTAACATTTTTGAGTGACACAGTTGCAAAAGCCGGAGAAGTGGGAGAGGCCAGCTGTGGCACCAGGGGTGGGACCTGAACATCTGCAGCCCAGCCCTGCAGCCTCTGCTCTTCCTTAGCAATGTTCCATGGTGTTTCTGGGACGGCGATCAAGGACCAAGAGCGACTTGAGCCTGAAGATGTACCAGGAAGAGATCCAGGTAGGAGCCTGGCTGACCACGCTGCGAGTCCTCCCCCGAGCTACGTCCTGGGAGGGGCAGGGAGCTGCTCCCCAGCCCTCTGAGGAGAGGGAGAAGGCTGGTAGAGAGATGCGGTTCGTCCATTGGGACCACTGCTGGGGTTTTGTGGGACCTGAGTGGGGCCCACTTAGCCTTAAACCCTTGACACGTGCACAGCAGAGGCAGCTCTCCCGTTTGCCTGCCACCATTATGTCCCTGCCCCTTATGAATTCTCCAGAACCTTGTCTCCATCTCTTATTCTGAGTCAGCTGCAAACTCAAACATGTGTAGCAAGAAACAGCGAGCAAAGAGGAAAGAGCAGTGACGGTGGTGAACTGGCAAGGATGTGCCTGTCCAAAGGGGACACAGCCTCCTCCCAGCTCCAGCGAGTGCTGCCCAATAGGAAGAAGGTCTACTGTGGCCAGGCTGCTTGGTGTTTTGTTTTGAGATGGAGTCTCGCTCGTCTCCCATGCTGGAGTGCAGTGGCGCGATCTAGGCTTACTGCAACCTCCACTTCCTGGGTTCAAGCGATTCTCCTGCCTCAGCCTCCCCAGTAGATTACAGGCACACGCCACCACACCTGGCTACTTTTTGTATTTTTAGTGGAGATGGGGTTTCACCATGTTGGCCAGGTTGGGACCGCTTGGAGTTTTTCATAATTGGGTGTTTGTTTTTTTTCTTTTAGAGATGGTATTGCTCTGTCACCCAGGTTGGAGTCCAGTGGCGCGATCATAGCTCACTGTAGCCTCTAACCCCCAGGTTCAAGTGATCCTCCCCACTCAGCCTACCCAAGCAGCTGGAACTACAGGTGTGCACCGTGACACCCTAATTATCTTATTTTGTAGCAGTGAGGTCTTGCTATGGTCTCAAACTCCTGGCCTCAAGCGATCCTGCCACCTTGGCTTCTAATTTAAGAAAAGGCAGGCCAGGCACGGTGGCTCATGCCTGTAATCCCAGCACTTTGGGAGGCCAAGGCAGGCAGATCACTTGATGCCAGGAGCTCAAGACCAGTCTGGCCAACATGGTGAAACCCTGTCTCTACTAAAAATACACAATTTAGCCAGGCCTGGTTCTGTGCATCTGTAATCCCAGCTACTGAGGAGGCTGAGGCAGAATTGCTTGACTCCAGGAGATGGAGGTTGCAGTGAGCCAAGATCATGCCACTGCACTCCAGCTTGGGTGACAGAGCAAGACTCTGTCTCCACAAAAAAAAAAAAGGCAGAGTCAGATGTTTTTCTTTTTCCTTTTCTTTGCACAATCTCCCAATCTCTACATATTGGCAGCTAAGGAAAATATCTCACAAAGCACCATGTGGGCTGGCACTTGGCACTGTGCCTTCCAGACCGTGGGCCACCAGTACATGAGCCCTGCAGGGTCTTCTCAACCACCTCAGGGTTGCCAGGGCTCTGGGGAGCCTCTCCTACACCAGCTGTGGTGGCTTTGCTCTGTTTTCTGGCATTTTAAGAGCTTGAAGCCCTTCTGTTTCACTAAAACGGTGACAACCAGGGTCCACACCTGAAAAGCAGGAGGTGCCATCCCCAAAGCAGCTTACACATTCTCTTCAGGAACACAAGAGACTCAGGCAGTGTTCTCTGGGCTGATGTGTAGTGGCTCACTGAACTTGGTATCACAGAGACATGGAAATAATAGAAGCGTTTGACCTTGGGCAAGTCACTCCATGCCTGTCTGTGCAAGGGGACAACTGTGCAGCAGCACCCACTCAGGTGTGGTCGGAGGGAGGTGTGCTGCCCTCGGCCTCTGCCCTTCTGCCTGTCCATCTGCTCCAGGCCTCAGTTTTCCCCTCTGTAAAACAAGGGGGTCAGAACTAGGCCATCTCGAAACTCTAAAAGTTTATGGTTCAGTCTTTTAAAAAGTAGGGTAGGGTATGGTGGTGCATGCCTGTATTCCCAGCTACTTGGGAGGATGAGGCGGGAGGATCACTTGAGCCCAGGAGTGGAAGGCTGCAGTGAGCCGTACCTCGCCACTGCCCTCCAGCCTATGCCACACAGTGAGACTCTGTCTCCAAAAAAAAAAGGAAATGTGGGGTATACTTCTTAATTCCTTAATTACCTGAATACCTCAGTCCCTGAAAATGTCAGAGGTTATAATCATGGCCTTGGGTGGTGCACTGTTGGATGTTTTCAGAATGACTTCACATTCCTGTTGGAGGGTGAAAGTTAGGTGAAGTATTAGCACAATACGGCTCTGAGCCTTAGTATCTCAGGTGTGAAATGGACACAATTCCTGCCAAGCTCAAAAGGGGTCCCTCAGGGGGACCCTTTAGTGAAGGGTTATGCTCACAAACAAGGGGCGAGGGTTGTTCCTGCTTGGACTTGTTGGAGAGCTGCTGTGTGCAAGCCTCCAGACACTAGGGAAAGATTTCATTGTCATTTTTGCCTCTGGGGCCATATTCAAAATTCCCAGCATTTCTGGGCCTGTGACAGGGGAGTTTCAGTACCAGCTGGGTGAGGCTGGCAGCCCTGCCCCCTCCAGCCTGGATGCTGTGGGCTGTGTGACCTTGTGGGGTGGGCGGGGCATGGGGTGGGGTGCAGCCCTCAGCGCCCCCTCTGCTCTCTTCTCCAGGAGTGGTACGAGGAGCATGCCAGGGAGCAGGAGCAGCAGCGACAGCTCAGCAGCAGCGCAGCGCCCGCCACCCAGCAGCCCCCCAGCAGCCGCCAGCGTTCCCAGACTGTTACCTAGCCCAGTGCCCGAAAGCCATCTCTTCTATGCAATAACACAATAGTATTACTCTACTGCGATGTACGGAACTGCGGTGTGTGTACACATACTCACGTATATGCACATATTTATATACAGGAAGAAAGAAGACAGACAAGATGGGGCTTGGTTTATAACCACCTTGCCCTGTTTTCCTTAACTCCAGAAGCCAGTTTGGTGAGGGGTGGGGTGTGGCCACCAGGTCTGAGCTTTTCCTACTGTGGAAGGCTCCAGAAGCCCCTTCACAAGGAAACCCCTCACCTGGATCCAGTTGACTCTGCGGGGCTTGCCCCCCACGTGGGCTAGCCTCCATCGGCCATGTCCAAAGCCGTCACTGCTACTGCTTCAGGCTCACGTCCCCCCGACCTGATGGCATCCCCACCCCCTCTCCCTGCGGGCATGCCACAGGTTTCTGTGTTTTGCTTTTGGGACAGAACCACTTAGGAAGGAAAGAACTCCTGGTCTCCAGGGTGGTGTTTCAGCTTCTGTGATGATGTCATGCAACACTCTTCGGGGACCAGTGCCCGGGATCTAATGGGAAGCGGAATTGGGGTGACTGTGCCCATGTGGCCAGAGCTCAGTTAGCCAGTTCCAGGCGGCCACAGACTACACTGACCAATCTCCTCTCTTGGCTCTGCAAGCCTCCCACCCAGCCTTCTCTGGCTTAACCCTGCTTGACAAAAATCCTTCCACAGTGGCCTCCTTGGGGACCCAGACCCTGGAGGAAGGGGCATGAGGCAGGAGGTAGGGCCGATGTCTGTAACCCAGACCACTTCCTGGAATGGGCTCTTGACCAAATCCCTTTTTTGTGATTTACCCATTCAAGCAAAACAACATTTTGATTAAGGATTGTGCTAAGCTGATACCAGGTCCTTCACACATGTGCACTAGGAACAGGAGCGAACAGCACAAGGAGACGCTCCCTGTGGGACGCAGCAGCCCTGTGGCCGTGACCCAGCTCCCAGCCAGGCTCCCTGGCTCTGCTCACACCGGAGATTGCAGTAGCAGGAGCTGTTGGTGCAGAAGTAGGTTCAGATGAACCCTCAGTTAACGTCACCACCCCCTTCTCCCGCCACAGTACCCACAGAGGCAGGGTCAGTGCAGAGGTTGCTTTGGTTCCGCTTTCCTGGGCCACACAACAGAGCACAGCACAGGTTCCACAGCAGGAGCTGCAGCGGCAGCATGGAGGGTGCGGAGGGCAAGGAGTGCGCTGCTGGGCATTCCCGGCCGCCCCGGCCCTCTGGTGCCTGCTTTCTGTGACTTCAGAAGGAAGGTGGACAGAGGCTCCCTCTGGCCTTGTCCTTTTCCCAGCCACAGAATGGGCGAGGTGGTACCCAACCCCAGGGGAGCAGTACCTGGACCCCCAACCTCTGCTCACCTCCAAGGCCAAGCTGGATCCCATAGCCAGCATGGCATGGTTCTCCCCTTCCCCTCTTCCCAGGTCAGGGGAGTTGGAGAAGTGGTGGGTGTTTGTTTTTAAAGCACAGCCCTTTGGGAAAATCACAAATCATTGAGAATCACTGTGATTCCCCCGGGAGTCAGACTGGCTTTGTCCTCTTCCTCTCTGGAGGGCCACGGGCCATCACCGGGAGCTCCACATCGAGCCCCAGGCCAGAACCCCTCCCTTTTGCAGAGAGGGAACTTTATTGCACAATTGGGTGCCTTTTAGCTTTTGTGTGTTGAAATGGGCATTTTGGAAGCAAGGGTCAAGGGACAGCTTCTAAAGGTGTGAGTCTCTGACCTGAGCATCTGGGCCTTGCCTCAGCCTTTTCTCCCCAGGGGTGGAAACCTGGAGGGGCCAGCAGCGCCCTGGGGTCTGCCCAGGGGAGTCGAGGCCCCCAGGTGGGAAGGCCTATTCCAGGAGGAGGGGGATCTCAGCCCTGTTCAGAGCAAGTTAATGTGTCCATCTGCCCAACCCTGTCCTGAGAAAGGACCTGGTTTTGGCCAGGACCCGACAAATGCCTAATGGCAGCAGTGTTAGCAGACCAGAGGTGGGCGCTCTTGTCATTGAGGCCAGGGACAGCTATCTCCAGGTTATGCCTGGCCCCACCAAGCAGGGAGTTGGGGTCCCCCCACAGGCTGTGAGCTCTGTGGGCCCTGGGATGTGATCTAGCTCAGATGCCCTCTCGTCCTTGATGTCACAGTTGAGTGCACCCAAGTGACACTCACTGGCAGCCAGGGGCACAGCCTGGTGGTGGCGGCAATAGAACCGTGCTCCTCCCCAGCTCCTCGCTTCCCCTCCCACAACCCCAGCCTTACTCCACCATGCGGACAATCATTTTGTACGGATCACGGGAGCAATGCTGTACGGTTTTGTACATTGGTGATTTGTTTCCTAGAAAACCCACTATGTCTCTGGATTTCTGGCATATTAATAAAAGAGCCTCTGCTTTGTAAATACGGTCGCTGCCTCTTGACTTCTGTGGTTTTGGGTATTGTCGGGAGAGTGGTCCCATCCGAGGCCATGGCCACTCCTGATCCTGCCTCAGCCCCACCCTGAGTTGGGCCCTGGGCTCAGCCACTCAACGCTGGCCCCAGGTGAGGAAGAACTGGTGATAGTTGGGGGTATCATTTTCTCTACACTTGAAATTTTGAATTTTTTTTTTATTTGGAAAAAAAGACAGTTGAATCCCTTTTCTTTACCAGCATAAGGCAGTCAGGCAAACCTAAGAGTTGCTTATTTCAGCAACATAAGGCAGGGTCACTGCATGACAGTAAGAAGGCACGAGGTCCCCTCATCTGTCCTTTCCCAGCTCACAGGCCTTGGAACCCCGCCCAGGGTCCCCCCTGAGGGAGGCACAGGCACGGTCCTACTGACTCCTGCTTGGCAGCTGGAGAAGCCCAAGTTCCAGCACAAACAAAGGAGTTTGTGGACAGTCGGGGCAGAATCCTGGAGGGAGTGCCTGAGCCGCCATCCCATGTGGCAGCTGCTGGCGTAGCAGTGCCTCGGGCTGACGTTGTTTTGGGAGCAAGTGGGTTCAGTGAAGTGTATTGCCATGAATGGCACCTGCTGCTTTTGGCTTTATTAACGTGGCAACGAGAAATTCAAAATTAAGTATGTCTTGAATTCTGTTTCTGGCAGATGGTGCAGCTCTGGAGCTCAGCCCTTGGCGGCCTGATTCCCAGGGGTCCAAGCCACCCTTGTTCTCTGAGTCAGGGTTGGGCAGCCACTTGTGCCCTAAAAAGGTGCCAGAAGGCCTGAAGCCCAGGCAAGGGGAATGGGCAGCGCCTGTGTCTCGGGGGTACCTCCAGCATGGCCTGGAACACACCCAGCTGTCCCCTTCCCCCAAACTCCAGACCTTCTCAGAGGGGCTCTGGGGGTCATTCAAGGGGGCCTTCTAGCTTCTCTCTGGAACCCTTTGTCCAGAGCAAAGCCCGGTTTCCAAGGTCCCCACGGCAAGGCTGTTAGATGCTGGCAGCAAGAGGTACAGAGCAGGCCAGGCGCCGTGGCTCATGCCTGTAATCCCAGCACTTTGGGAGGCCGAGGCGGGCGGATCACGAGGTCAGGAGATCAAGACTGTCCTGACTAACACGGTGAAACCCCATCTCTACTAAAAATACAAAATAGCCAGGCGTGGTGGCTGGCGCCTGTAGTCCCAGCTACTTGGGAGGCTGAGGCAGGAGAAGCGTGAATCTGGGAGGCGGAGCTTGCAGTGAGCCGAGATCATGCCACTGCACTCCAGCCTGGGCAACAGAGCAAGACTCCGTCTCAAAAAAAAAAAAAGTACAGAGCAGTTCTCTCAGCTCCCAGCAGTGACCTCGGATCTCCAGCAGCAAGGGGCATGCTCTCATGTCCACAGGGGCCTTGCAGAAATGCTCCAGTCCCTGGGCCTCCCCTAGCAGGAGGGGCAGGGCTCCTGCCTGCAGTGAGGCCATAGCACTAAGCAGCTTCAGTCACGTGCTTTTCAGGCGAATTACTCCAAATTCAGTGAGGAGGGCCACGACAAGGAAGTTCAGGTAGAATAGGAGCAGGCAAATGCCATAGACTCTGCTGAGCTGGAAGCACTGCAATGGGACTGAGACCAGGGAGAAGACGAGGCTGAGCCCCAGGGCGCCTGCCAGGACCCACACCAGCAGTCCATCTGGCTCCAGCTGTGGAAGAATGAGGGGAGAGAGGCTGGGTCACTGCCCGTCACAGGCCCCGCCCCATCTGCAGCCAACATAACAATGCACCCTCAGCAACAATGCACCCTCAACAACAATGTACCCTCAACAACAATGCACCCTCGACAACAATGTACCCTCAACAGCAATGCAGCCTCAACAGCAATGGAACCTCAACAGCAATGAACCCTCAACAACAATGCAGCCTCAATAACAATGCAACCTCAACAACAATGCACCCTCAACAACAATGCAGCCTCAACAACAATGCACCCTCAACAACAATGCAGCCTCAACAATGCACCCTCAACAACAATGCAGCCTCAACAACAATGGAACCTCAACAACAATGCACCCTCAACAACAATGCAGCCTCAACAATGGAACCTCAACAATGCACCCTCAACAACAATGCAGCCTCAAAAATGCACCCTCAACAATGCAGCCTCAATAACAATGCACCCTCAACAACAATGCACCCTCAACAACAATGCACCCTCAACAGCGATGGAACCTCAACAGCAATGAACCCTCAACAACAATGCAGCCTCAACAATGCACCCTCAACAACAATGCAGCCTCAATAACAATGCACCCTCAACAATGCAGCCTCAACAATGCAGTCTCAATAACAATGCAACCTCAACAACAACGCAGCCTCAACAACAATGCACCCTCAACAACAATGCACCCTGAACACAATGCATCTTCAGCAATGCAGCCTCAACAATAATGCAGCCTCAACAACAATGCAATCTCGGCCGAGCACAATGGCTCATGTCTGTAATTTCAGCACTTTGAGAGGCTGAGGCAGGTGGATCACCTGAGATCAGGAGTTCAAGACCAGCCTGGCCAATACGGTGAAACCCTGTATCTACTAAAAATACAAAAATTAGCCAGGCATGGCGGTGTGCTACTGGGGAGGCTGAGGCAGGAGAATC